GTGAGAGAGATTGACGAGAGAGAAGAGAGTTTTTGGACTAGAAGAGAGAGCGATACAAGAAGGGGGGTTGTACCCTCTACAGTAGGATCCAGTAACACCTACCAAGCCTATAATTATATATATACATATATATATATATATTATATAATTCAACACTGCAAACCCAGTACTGGGTTAGCAACAAGTCTGATTTTTTCAGGAACCCTAAATTCGTACTTTGAAGTGTTCAGAATTGGGAAAGTGAGTAATCTGATCATTCAAGTTTGGCCAACATTAGGGTCTGAAATTTCAGACTAATCAGACTAAATAGTCTGATAACGTCAGCCATGCCTGCACCCCACCATGCTGCCCATCACCATGCCTGCCATGCCCACAAACCTGGATGGGGTTCTGCCTCCGGGCTTGGCCTTGCCCGTGCCAATGCCTCACCCTCTGCACGGTGCTGGCTGTTTTAGAATACGAGAATGACTGAAAACAAGGGAGGAGGGGAGGACGAGACACGTGGGAACGAAGAAACATAGGATAAGAATGCTGAACAAGAGAGACAGGACGAGCACGAGAGGGAAGGCGAGATCAGACGTGAGACGGAGGCGCCTGGTCAGGAGACAGAGGAGGAGACACAAGAGGGGAACGAGGGGGAAGACGAGCCGTAGACGAGTCTGGTGGAGGGAACACATGGCTGTAGACAGGAAGAGAAGGAGGCAACGGGGGAGGCACAGGCGAGCGGTCAGGGGAGGGAAGGCCGAGGAAGCGAAGGGCGTATACCGGCGGCGACTGCTGCTGCTGCTGCTCAATGCCGACACCTGGACCGCCAGCTGTACCACGGCTGCCTCCGGAACACTCCACTTCAGCACCCCCAGAACGAGTACTCTCTCCAGCACCTGGTGCCACCCCCAGGACAAGCCACGACAGGAACCCCAGGACTAGGACCCTCCTCAACGCCAACCGCGCCAGAGTCCACGAACGGCTGCTGTTGCGGCGGCGGCGGCTGCTTTGGTGGCGATGGCTACTGCTGCAGGGGTTGCGGCAACGGCTGCGACAGCTGCTGCAGTAGCGAGTGCGGCGGCAGAGGAGGAGACACAGGGGGAGAGGCAGGTGGCAAAAACGGCGCCGCGGGGCCACCAGAGTCAGCCGAATCCTCGATCGGGACAACCGACGGTAGGGGAGTGACGCGAGACACACCAGACCGAGCAGGACGGGGAGGGAGGTGAGCAGGGGCTACCGGGGGAGTGCAAACCAAAAACAGGGGAGGGGAAACCGGGAGACCTCATTGGGGAAACCGGGAGACCTCATTGGGGAAAATGGTGGTAAAAGGAGACAGACTCGTTGAAAGTAGCGTCGCGGGAGTGAAAGAAGCGGTGAGACAGCGGGTGGTAAAAGTGCCAGTTAGACGAGTCAAGGGGGAAACCGAGGAAGACACAGAGGATAGTGCGGGCCATGAGCTTGTCCGTGCCTGAGGCACGAACGTGAGCAAGGCGGCCCCAGACGTGGAACGCGGACTCGTCACCAGGTAACCCGGTCCAAAGAAGGGTCGGCGAAACTTGCGACCGCTGGGAGCTCGGCCAGAGGTCAAGCTGGTGAGCGGCGCAGCGAACGACGAACGGCCACAGAAAATGGGGTGCACCAGCATGGATTATAGAGGTACGAGCCACCTCTATGACCAAGCCTATGCGTCGCTCAGTGACCCTGTTCTGCTGCGGGGAGTCTGGTAGGGTGTACAACTGGGTGATGCCATCCGCACGAGAGAAATGTCCAAGCCAACCAGAGGCGAACTCGCCGCCACGGTCGGAGTGGAGACACAGCACAGGAAGACCGCGGTGGAGTCGTGCAGCGACGACCAACGGGATAAGAACGTTAGGCATGTTGGCCTTCTGCTCTAGGGGAAACACCGTGGTGTAGCGCGTGTAGTCGTCGACGAGCATGAGAAAGACGTGCTTGCGACGAGGTCCGGGGACGGGGGCTGGGCCTCAGACGTCCAGGTGCAGGGTCTGGAGGGGTGCGGTGGTAGGGCGAAGCGAGGAGGAGTGAGGAGCACAGCGCAGCCTGCCCTCCACGAAGGGCGTACACGGCGACGCAGGCGAGGGAGGGAGGGCAGGAAGCGACGCAGGGAGACCTAAGACAAGACCATGCTGGGATATGTAACGCAGACGTGGGAGTGCGGGGTGACCTAGGTGGAGGTGCCACAGGAGCGACGGGTGAGTGAGCGACCAACACGAGCAAGCAGCGGCGACCTGGGTAGACGCAGGGCCCGGGGAGGATGCCCCAACCGAGGGGGAAGCAGTGTCCAGCGTAAACATGTCAGACACCGGGTCCCGGGGGAACGTCGCAAGGGGGGCACCTGAGGCGGCCTCAGTACAGACAGTGTACCGCTCGTGACCAGGGAACGTAGTGGTGATGCCGAGGTCCTGAAGACAGCCGACACCAACTAAGTTCCTGGAGAACGAAGGGATGTGTAGGCCTGTAAGGGAACCCGAGGGAACTGCTGGACACGGAAGGGTAGTGTAGCTGCGAGCAACGACAGGACCAGAAGAGGGGTTAGCAAGTGCGACAGCGGCAAGCGCGGCATGCGGCGTGAGTGTGGCGTGGTCGCGGGAGAAGCAGGCAGATGCACAGGAGTCAGGTGTGAAGGACAGCGATGCAGTGGCGGTAGACGAAGGAGGGGCGAGTGTAGAGCCTAGGCTAGACAAAGCAAACGGTCCTACGCCTGACGCAGCAGGGGAGTGTGTACTACACACAGGTGCTACGCCAAAGCTAGGGAACACAGGGTAATAAGATCCGGACACACTAATCTGATCAGCATACAGAGAGTGCAGGGCTGAACAAATCTGATCCATGTCTAACTCAAAAACAGGCAAGCCGTCGCGCAACAGACTGGGCCAGTCAGGGAGGTCCAGGGCCGGGCCGAAGCGGCGACGGAAGAGGTCGTCGAGGCGGCGGAAGCAGCAGGCGGTTGGGTGCGAGTGGCGGCACATAGTGCCACGGAGGGGCCCGGTCTGGAGCTGAAACTGGTAGCTCACAGCACCGTAGACGCCGAGCTGCGAGGGCCACCAACGCGGCCACCACCTCCTGGGACTCTTGGCCACCCCGGCAGGAGGCGGGCCCACGGCTGCTGCTGCTGCGACTGCTACAGCTGTGACTGCTGCTGCTGCGTCTGCTGTGGCTGCTGCTTCTGCTGGACACCAGCCCCAGCCCCCTCATCAGAACCACTGTCCTCGCCACCACCACTACCACCACCAGCGCCACCACCACGCCCTCCCTTAGGGCCGCGGCGGCCCCGACGCTGTCGCTGCTGCGGGAAGGCCGTAGCTGCGGTCTTGGTGGTAGGGGCAGCCGTAGCGACCGCGGCGGAGACGTAAACGTACGTGCACTGAGAGGGAGCATAGCCCTGAAAGATAGGGACTGCCACATCACCGTTCGACTGAGCGATAGTGCGCTGTCGAGTCTCTATCTCAGACAGGGAAATGACAAAGGCGGTCAGGGTGAGGTCGGCAGGGTGCTGGCTAAGGAAGTGGTCGCGGGCAGTGGCTAAGCGGTCAGACAGGCACATGGCAATAAGGTACAGGGTAGCGCAGAACGGTGGGGGGAAGGCAGTGAGCTGGGCGGCAGTGCTAGCAGCGCGGTAGCTAGTCTCTAATGCACGAAGGTGAGTGGCGAGGTCAGTTTTGAAAGCGCAAAGATCGGGAAATAGCATGGGGAGGATCAAGCGACCAGCGGAGGCGGAGGCAGGCGTGGAGTAGCGCGCAACTATTGCATCTAGGAAGTCCTTGGCGTTCGCGACAGCAGTGAAGCGCGGACGCTCAGAAAGGGGAAACGCATGACTAATGGCGAGCTGCGCTACAGCATCGCGAGAATCCCAGCAAGCGCGAGCGAGCGCAACAACAGAAAAGGCCCCACTCTCAGCAGTGGTGGGGTCAGTAGGGAGGGGATCATGCGCGGGGGGGCGGGGAAGCAAGCCATCAACATGCATATCCAGGGAGTGCCCATCCTGGCGCTGACCTGTCATGTGCCGGCGAAGATCGACAAGCCAGGCCGCGAAGTCGATCGCGTGCCCCTCCGCGTCCAGACAAAGTACGGCGTCCGCCATCGTGCAACCTCAGCGGTACAGGTCCACAGCGGCACAGCGTCACGGTGGCACAGCGGCACGGGGACACGGCGGCACAGCGGCACAAGTACTCAGCGGCACAGCGGCGTGGCGGCAGGACTCTCCGGCAGGAAAACCAGGCAGGAGGCCGATGAGGGCCCGAGGCGCTCAGGGCCCGAGACGCGCAAAGCCGGTAGGGCGCTAAGGGCCGGCGGAGCGCTAGGGCCATGTGGCACTCGAGGAGCCGGCGGGGCGCGAAGGGGGCCGGCGAGGCGCAGGAGGGGCTTGGGAGGTACGCGAGGAGCTGGCGGGCGCACGAGGGGCCGGCGAGTGCGGAGGGCCGGCGAGGCGCGCGAGGGGCCAGCAGGGTACGCAAAGGGCTGGCGAGTACTCGAGGGGCCGGCGAGCATGCGAGGGGCCGACTAGGTGCGAGGGGCCGGCGAGCACGCGAGGGGCCGGCTAGGCACGAGGGGCCGGCTAGGCGCGAGGGGCCGGCTAGGCGCGAAGGGCCGGCTAGGCGCGAGGGGCCGGTGAGGCGGTAAGGGGCCGGCACGGCGCGCTAGGGGCCGGCGGAGTACGCGAGGGGCCAGCGCAGCACTTAAGGGGCGGCGGGCACGGTAGGGACCGGCGAGGTGAGCGAGGGGCCGGCGGTACACTAGGAGCCGGCGGATACGCTAGGGGCCGGCGGTACGCTAGGGGCCGGCGGGACGGTAGGCTAGGGCGAGGGGCGGAAGTGGGTGGGACGATCTATCCTGCTCTGATACTAAGTTAGAATAAGAGAATGACTAGGGTATCAAAGCAAGTATAACCCAGAATACCTATACAAATATATTTATACATATATGTATATGACTAGGGTATCAAAGCAAGTATAAGCAAGTACCTATACAAATATATGTATAAATTGACAAGCTGGACAGAATACAACTTGTAGGCAATGTTAAAATGAAGGTGCTAACTAGGAAAGGAAAAGAAAGCATTGTTAGGCCGCAACTGCAGCTGTGCACAAGTCTGTTAGCTACTGCAATACTAGAATCCCCAGACCCTAGCCCTATGGAAACACTAACCCCAGAAACTAGCCTAACGGTAACACAAGCGGCTGGCATGGGCACAAGAAGCTGGCATGGGCACAAGCAGCTGGCATGGGCACAAGCGGCTGACATGGGCACAAGCGGCTGGCATGGGCACAAGCGGCTGGCATAGGCGCAAGCGGCTGGCCGCATGCATGCAGCCCTCCCCGGCGCGAGGCCACCCCTCACTGCGCCTTGTCTGGAGTGGCGTTAGCCTGCCCCAACTTCTTCTTCCTCTTCACCTGCTTGCCCGGCACGTTGCTCCGCCCCTCGCCTCCCGCGGTAGCAGCAGCAGCAGCAGCAGAGGTGCCAGCAGCAGCTGAGGCACCTAGCACGGTGGCAGGGGCAGCAGCCCCCTGCTCATCCGCCTGCTTCCGCTTCTTTCTCTTCCCTGCGCTGCTCCCAGCACCGGCCTTCTCACCTTCCTCCACCACCTTCTCCTTCCCCTTGCGCGACCTCCGTCCCTCGCCTTCCTCCTCACCACCCTTGCCCTTCTTCTCCTCCTCCCCCTTCTCCTTCTCCTCCTCATCCTTCTCCTCCCCCTCCTCCGCCACCTCCATCACGTCGTCGCCCAGCTCAATCGGCGCGTCGTCGCTCCCTTCACCATCCTCCTCCCCTTCCTCCTGCTCCTCCTCATGCTCCTCCTTCTCCTCCTCCGCTTTCTTCCCCTTTCCCCCCTTCTTCTTCCCCTCGCCGCTAGCGGCGCGCATTTCCGCCCAGCGGCGGCGGGCCATCTGGTAGGCGTCTTTGGGCGTGGCAGCGTCCCCGCGCGCGAGGATGCGGTCGCGCTCGTCGCCGAGGAACTGCTGCATCGCCATCTGCACGGCGGACAGCGGTCGCTTCTCGCGCTTCTCCTTCGACGCCGAGCCCTCCTTCCCGCGGCTGCGAGTCGCGGGGGACTTCTCCTCCGAGGGAGCCGCGGCGGGAGCGGGGGTCACAGCGGGGGCCGGGGAGGCAGCGGCGGCCGCAGGGGCTGCGGTGGGATCGGCAGCAGGGAACGAGGCGGCGGCGGCCGCCGCCACTGCGAGTGCGGTGGCCTTGAGATTAAGCGGATCGAAGCACGGATACGCGGAGAGCGTGTGCAGCAGCGGACTGACGGCGGAAATGGTCACCCCGTCTGCGGCGAGGGCGGAGAGGCGAGAGCGGGAGGGGTACGAGGGGGAGAGGCAAGAGCGGGAGAGGCGAGGGGCGGAGTGTTGGGGGAGAGGCAAAGGAACGAGACGAAGCGAAGAGCCAATGGAAACACGCGAAGAATCGAAACATTGCGAAGTGACGGCATCGAGCCAAGGCTCCCAGCACGGGGTCGGAGCAGCAGGGGACGCGCGAGAGCAGCAGGGGACGCGCGAGAGCAGCAGGGGACGCGCGAGAGCAGCAGGGGACGCGCGAGAGCACGGGGAAAGGGCGAAGCGGCGTGGAGCAGAGACGAAGGCAAGTGGCGAGTGAGCGAAACGCGGCGCAAGGGAGCAAGGATGGTCGACGCGGCACGCGCAGGTGGCGCGACTGCTCCACTCGCGCACTCACCGGCTGCCAGCCGGCAGAGCGCCGACATCTCGCCGGCCACCACCTGGATGGCCGTCGACGCGTTCGCCACCTGCAGGAAGAACTGCCGGTTCGGCACCTCCGTCCGCTCGCCGCTGCCGCCTGCCGGCCCCGCCTGGCCGCCCGCCTGCGCATTGGTCTGCCTGTTCATGGCTCCGTCGACGGGCAACAGGAAAGCCCGCTGGCAGGTCGAGAAATCTACGAGGCTAAGAAAAGGTGGGTTCGGACGTCCGTGTAACGCAGACCAACCTAAATTTCACGGAGGGAGAAAACTGGCTGCCATGATGCTGTGAGACGATGTGGACATACTAAATGGTGGGGTATAAAGGCGGGGGGAGAACGAGGCGCGGGGAACCGAGGCGGGGGGACAACGAGGCGGGGTGGAGGACGAGGCGGGGTGGAGGACGAGGCGGGGTGGAGGACGCGGCGGGGTGGAGGACGAGGCCGGGTGCGGCGGGCCTCTCGCTAAAATAGTAATTACCCTTAATGTCGAGGAATTAAGAGTAGCGTTCCGAGCGATCGTTTTTTTACGGTGTGATTTTCCCCCGAATCCGTTCGCTTACGGATTCCTTAGCCTAGAGTGTAACTTATTTTTGAATCCGTATGGGCAATCTGTAGGGGCAGCGAGATCCCCACCCTTACGCACCCCCTCCTCCACCCCCAACGCCCCGCCGATTCCTTGCTAGCCGAGTTTGTAGGGTTTTTTTTGGGGGGGGATTCCGTCTGTTAACGAGTAATCCAGAGGCGATTCCATTCGCTTCCGGAATACCCTGGGGCTTAGCGAGAGGCCTGGGGTGCAGGTGAAAGTGGAGCGATGGGGAGAGCACGACGGGGGGAGAAGGTAATAAGGGTTTAGGGTCTCATGCACGACGGGAGATCGACTACGGTGCGCGCCGAAAAGGATAAGACCACGAAGAGCTTCTACCATGCAATGAAGCTCATTTTCGTACAAGCTAAAACGCCTAAGCTTTCTTACTACCTTGTTCACTTTTCACTAGAAATGACGCTATATGCTACGAAACGCCATTCTGACATTCCTGAAATTAACACTAGTCCGTATTCCACTCTTTAGCGTGACATATAGGGCACATATTAACAAGGTGATGTATGGCATATTCCTACTTTCCAAATACCAGGAAGGCTCCTTGACACCGGTGCCTGAGCCTTGTCGTTTTGCAGCACTACATATCAGGCCAGTTCCCGCTTGTCGATGAAGGCTGTCATGGCGGTAGGCCTCGCAACGCAATGCAGCACAAAAAGTTAGACAAGGGCATACAGATTAATTCTAAGCTTTGTGTTGTACTCTCTAAGAGCATGCACTTATATGTTAGAAGAGGTTTTTAGCTAGGTAGGCATGAGTAGCGAGAGAAAAGAGATTGGACCAGACAAGAGAGAGAGAGGTACAAGAAGGAGGTTGTCCTTGTTAAATTATATATTTGATGGATATATAATAGTAGGCTTGGTAGGTGTTACTGGATTCTACTGTAAAGGGTACAACCCCCCCTTCTTGTATCCCTCTCTCTTCTTTTCAAACTCTCTTCTCTCTCGATATTTTCCTAGCACCTAAAACCTCTCGCCATTCATGGCGCCTCTTCCTAGCTAGCTATTCTAATATGGTTTCATAGTAGGTTGCTCTTCCTGGGCCTACTTATCACGCTTCCGCCACGCACTCCTCCTCTCCCTCTCGCGCTGCTATGGCGGCCGCGTCGTGCTGTTGTGGCGGCGTCGTCGTGCCGCCGGCCGCGTCGTGCTGCCGCGGCCGTCTCGACGCGCTGCCGTGGCGTCACGCTGTCGTAGCGTCGATGTCAAGCCATGACATCGTCGTCGATGTCAAGCCGTGGCGGTGTGACGGCACCGTCGTGCTGCCGGCGCGCGTACGGCACGGACGGCAGTGGCCAGCGCCCCGTCTTAGCGCTAGCCAGCACGCCCGCATGCAGCCAGCGCGCCACACGGGGCGGCACGTGAAAAACATAATTGTATATGTTATAATAGGCTAGATAGGTGCATGCTCTTAGAGGGTACGACCACTTGAACAAAATCATCCAGTATGCATCATTTTAGTTAACTTTCTACTATGAGATGGTATCACGCGTTAGGTTAGATCCTCCCCGCCCACCTGCACTAGTCCTAACGTCCTAGTCCTCCCGTCCTACTCCTATGACTCTCGTCCTAGTCCTACCTGCCCGCTCCTAGTCGCCCCACCGGCCCGTTAGCGCCCTTCCGACCCCGTTAGCGCCTTGCCGGCCTGTTAGCGCCTCGTTAGCGCCCCGTCGGCCCCCTCTGGCCCGTTAGCGCCCGTCGGCATCGTTAGCGCCCCGTCGGCCCCGTGCCCCCTCTAGCTTTGTTCGCCTCGCCGGCCCGTTAGCGCCTAGCCCCGTTCGCGGCCTGTCGGCCCCGTGCGCCCCTCTGGCCCCGCTCGCCCTATCGCCCCGTTAGCGCTCCGCCGGCCCGTTAGCGCCTTGACAGCCCCGTTCGCGCCCCGTCGACCCCGTGCGCCCCTCTGGCCCCGCTCGCCCCATCAGCCCGTTAGCGCCCCGCCGGCCCGCTCGCGCCCTACCAGACCCGCTAGCCCCCGTCGGTCCCGTGCGCCCCACTGACCCTACTCGCCCCGCCGGCCTGTTAGCGCCCCAGCCGGCCCCGTTGGCGCCCTACCGGCCCCGCCCGTGCCCCGTCGGCCCTGTGCGCCCCGTCGGCCCTCGCCAGCCGGTCGGCCAGCCGGTCGGCCAGCCAGCCGGCTCCAGCCTCGCCGGCCCCCGCTTCATCAGCCAGCCGCCGGACCGTCGAGTCCCAGCGCCGACCCCCTGGCTCTGGCTCCCTTCAGCGCCGGCTTCCCTGCCGGCTGTCTCCACCGCTCTCCACCGCTCTCCATTGCACTCCACTGCACTCCACCATACTACACCGCACTCCACCGCTCTCCACCACACTTCACTGCACTCCACCATACTACACCGCACTCCACCGCTCTTCACCGCTTCCTCTACCTGTCCTTCTCACTCTGTCAACGGCCGTCAGCAGCTGCAGCATTGGCAATGGCGGAGTCACAGCTCCGTCTGGACACAGAGGGTCGGGCGCTCGACTTTGAGGCGTGGCTCGTCGACCTTCGGCGTCACCTTACAGGTCAGCTCCAGGACAGTCACTCCCTGGCTGTTCATGTTGATGGCCTGCTTCCCCGTCCCTCTGCCCCTTCTGCCCACCACTGCTGAGCGTGAGGCATTTTCCACCGGTGCGCTTGATTGTGCTGTCTAGGACTCGCGCGACGCTGTTGCCCAGCTTGCTATCAGCCGTGCGCTCTCGTTGTCTGAGCGTCCTCACTTTACCACTGTAGCGAACGCCCAGGCCTTCTTAGATGCTGTCGTTGCGCGCTATTCCACCCCTGCCACTGCCTCTGCTAGTCGCCTGATCATTTTCATGCTCTTCCCTGATCTTGCGTCCTTCCCCACTGTCGCCGACTTTGCCACGCACCTTCGCGCGCTTGAGACAAGCTACCGCGCTGCTAGGACTGAGGCACAGCTCACTGCCTTCCCGCCGCCGTTCTGCGCTACCCTTTATCTCATAGCCATGCGCCTCCCTGACCGCCTAGCCACAGCCCGCGACCACTTCCTTAGTCAGCACCCGGGTGACCTCACTCTCACCGCCTTTGTCACTGCCCTGTCTGAGAAAGAGACCCGCCAGCGCAGTATCCTTTAGTGTAGTGGTACTGCGGCGGTACCTATCTTTCAGGGCTGTGCTCCCTCCCAGTGCACTTACTCTGTCGTCTCTGCTGCTGTTGCTGAGACCGATGCTGCGGCCTCAGCGCAGAAGCGTCCGGGTAAGGGTCGCCACCCCAAAGGGGGGCGTGGTGGGGGGAAGAGGGCTGGCGGTGGGGAGGGTGGCAGTGGTGAGGGCGGGGATGGTGGTTCAAACAAGGGGACTGGGGCTGGTGCCCCAAAGCAGCCGCAGTAGGAGATGCAGCCTCAGCAGCAGCTGCAGTAGACTTAGCAGCCGCTACAGTAGACTCAGCAGCCGCAGCCGCCGCCGCAGTCGTCGCAGCAGAAGCAGTCGCCATGATGGCACTAGCGCCGGTGGTCGTAGGGGGGGCGGGCGCAGCTCGGTGTCGGGTGGCAGCTCCAGCGCGGTCACCTGCCAGTACAAGCTTCAGACCGGCCCTCGCCGTGGCATTGTCTCCCTCCGACCCGGCCACACCGCCGACCGCTACTACCGCCACCTGGACGACCTGTTCTGCCACCGCTTCGGTCCTCCGTCGGACCCTCCGGACAGGTACGCCCTGGCTCACAGTCGTGTGCCGGTCTCTGAGCTTGACATGGATCAGATTAGGACTGCTATGTATGTCATGTATCCTGATGACTCTAGTGTGATTGGACCCTATTACCCGGTGTTGCCTAGCATAGATGTGTCTACTGTATGTAGTCTAGGCTCCCCTGCTGTGTCAGGCGTAGGACCCTCTGCCTTTTTTAGCCAAGGCTCCACTCTAGCCCTTCCGCCGGCAGCCGCTAGCGCTTCGCTCTCCTTCACGCCCGACTCCGGTGCATCTACCTGCTTCTTCTGTGACCACAGTTCCCTTATGCCGCTTGCCGCCCTTGCCACCGTCGCACTTGCAGACCCCTCCTCCGGTCCGGTAGTTGCACGTAGCTCCACCACCCTTCCCTGTCCAGCGGCCCCCTCGGGCACTCTTACAGGCCTTCACATCCCCTCGTTCTCTAGGAACCTAGTTGGTGTCGGCTGTCTTCAGGACTTCGGCGTCACCACTACGTTCCCCGAACGCAAGTGATACACGGTCTGCACAGAGACTGCCACTGGTGCTCCTCTGACCACGTTCCCCCGGAACCCTGTGTCCAGCCTGTTTACGCTTGACACTGCATCCCCCCTGGTGAGGGCGTCCCCCCAGATAGTAGCGGCTTGCTCGTATCGGTCGCTCACTCACCCGTCGCTGCTGTGGCACCACAGCCTAGGTCACCCTGCACTCCCGTGTCTGCGTCACATGTCCCAGCACGGTCTTGTCCTAGGACTCCCTGCATCGCTTCCTGCCCTCCCTCCCTCGCCTGCGTCGCCGTGCACGCCCTTCATGGAGGGCAGGCTGCGCCGTGCTCCTCACTCCTCCTCACTTCGCCCTACCACCGCACCCCTCCAGACCCTGCACCTGGACGTCTGAGGCCCAGCCCCCGTCCCCGGACCTCGTCGCAAGCACGTCTTTCTCATGCTCGTCGACGACTACACGGGCTATACCACGGTGTTTCCCCTAGAGCGGAAGGCCGACGTGCCTAACGTTCTTATCCAGTTGGTCGTCGCTGC